CTCGGTTCAAAGTTATCCATGCTCGAACGTAACTAACCAAATAATACCATTATTGGACGGCAGATCCAGAAGAGGGCGGACGGATGGGTGATGTGATACTTCCGGTTATGGCCCATATTCTATACACTCTGGATTTGCACACTCAAGCAAACGCAAAAAGGTAAACAAATCGCCTGAATATTCTCAGTCTAAACCAGTCTTTGGAAGACTGATTAAAGCTATTACATTCGTAATTATTTGCTCGAAGGTGACTAGGATGCACAAATTAATGCAGTGCGGTACATTGTAACAATCTAATGCTATAACTATCTTGCAGTGCGGTACATTATAAGTAGGTAGCCCATTCTTTTTTAAGGGTTTCCACGCTATGGTGGCAGCTTTTATCTGAGCGTGCTGCACACCGACGCGTGATCATCAAAGTTTCTCTATTTGGACTCCGGATAGAAGAGCTTCCGCCGTTTCGCAGACTTCAGCCACCTTATTTCAACAAGATTTACAGGTTCGGCTGGTGCTTAGATAAGGCAGTTACCGCGCAGACTGAAGTGCTTACCCTAATCGATGTTGCCGGCTTCACTGATTGGACCTTAGTTGCCAAAATTCTGGCTCCTTTACTCACCGCCAAACAAATTCGGCTAAATTATTTTGTCATAAATAATGGTTGGACATGGGAACTGTTTCGGCATGAATGGGACTTTTACGACGGTTGGCTGACAAAATTTACTAATCCCGCTAGTGGATGTAGATGTGCTGATTTTTGCAAGCTGATCACCGTTTGTCGGCGGCTGGTTCTTCGTCAGTACACAGTGGAGAACATTGTCAGAAATATGTGGCACTTTTTTCCCCACGCTGATTTTCCAAACAGTGGGCTCCTTACATCAGTCAGCCACCAAATAGTTTCGATCACCATCCCGTACTTAATGCTGAATTCCACTGAAAATGCAGCCGATATTCTCAGGGCGCTTTCGCTAGCTGCGGAAATGAACTGCCCTCCGTTGGCCACCGCGGTATACGAGCGCGTGCAGTCCATTCATCAATACTGGATGGCCAATCTGGAATATCCCAATAATTGGCAGAAAATCCGGCAATTCCTTCAGCTGTGAGCGTAACCCGGGTATTGTTTGCTAGTATCCTTCCCGTAACGAACTGTTTTGTAGGTATTCTGGGTTCTGGCCAGACGGAAGTGCGCACAACTGGACGGATGCCGATTTGAGGCTGCTGGACGTGACTTGTCTGACGAAGCTGGCTGTGACCGCACTCAATTCCTTTTTTGTCGCGTTTAAGTAAACACAAGTGCAGCTCGAATTCTTGTTGATTCACCTTTTTGCCATATTCTACTACTGCATAACATTTCTAATTCGCTGTTAAAGGTCCAACTCTAATTAGTAGACAGCTTTTTCGCATAGGAGCTTTTTTGTGGCACGCCGACAACTCGCTGACGGTCATCTTGCTGATCGACAACTTGCTGACGAGTATTTGCCGACCGACGAAATGCTGAACCGACAGTTTGCTGAAACAACGAATCGCTGAACGACATTTTGCTGAACGTCAGTTCGCTGACACCGACGATTATTGTGCCTAACTCCAATGTACTATATCGATAAAACGTTGCCGCGCATGGGGGGGTGGATTTTAATAACAAAATCCCTGGTGGACGAATTTGTCCACCGGAAACGAACAAACAGCTGCACTGCAACCAACAAAAGCATAGCACAAACTTCAAAAGAACGCCTGCACAGGGCAGGTACGCCTCCGCACAAATATACACAGATCCACCACAAAACAACAATAATATTGAATTTGTGAACAGCATAATCTTGGAGAACAAGCTAAATACATAGATTAATAGAAACGACAGATTCCACTTGTCCGAATTCCCACGGTCTCCACGGTATCCGCATTCCTAGGAGTGGGCGGGCGGGAAAACTGCTTGCTGCTGCTGCATGCAACTGGAAGTTGCCGGTATGCTGCGCTCTTTATATACGCGCCACCGATGACCGGTGGCCGGCTGAGAGGAGGAGTGGCTATCCGTGTAGGCCAATAATAAACAGATTCTCCCTAGAGAGAATCTTACTCATTATTGTGCCTAACTCCAATGTACTATATCGATAAAACGTTGCCGCGCATGGGGGGGTGGATTTTAATAACAAAATCCCTGGTGGACGAATTTGTCCACCGGAAACGAACAAACAGCTGCACTGCAACCAACAAAAGCATAGCACAAACTTCAAAAGAACGCCTGCACAGGGCAGGTACGCCTCCAAACCCCCAATCACTCTCGCGATCCGACTGCTGCCATACATTGTGCGAATTCCTCTCGTCTGCGATTATCCAAACTGACATATTTCTCATAACAGCTGCTGCGCCAGTTGCCTTGCGCTTTAATTACCGCTGCCGATGCTCCGAATTTGGCTGCTGCTGTGGCACCACCTCGCCGGAAGGAATGCGTGGATAACTTACTGCCGTCGATTCCGGCATCTGCCAGCGTTTGCTTTAAACAACGGTTGAACACGTGAGACGTCATTGCCACCATCTGCCCGGCTGACCGGTACGATAGAAGCGGGTCATTTCCTTTCGCTTTCGTTGTCGCTAACAATACTTCCACTGCGCTTACTGGACACAGTACACTGCTGCTGCCCAATTTAGGAACAACTACATGTACTTCCGCGCCCTTGTAGCGGTTGCTTTTTAGCGCTGGCGCTGATACTTGCAGCCCCATCTCGATGCGCCGGACATTCAAAACTTTAACATGCGTACTGCTCTTTCTGAACGAACAAAACAAATTAGATGCCCGCAATAAAGAAAAGAATGCCAATAAGCAAGCGGCCCAGAAGGCCTTCCTGCGCGCTGCCTGCACTGCATGCAAATGCTTGTGGATAGTTAACAACAGGTCCGCATCTACTGCTGCTCGCTTGTTCGGCAACTCCTCGCGGAGACGCTGAACGCCTGCCAATGCTTCCTTTACTGCAAAATGCGTGAGATCTGGTGCCACCATGTTGTGCTCATGGTGAAGAGAAATTAAGCTGCTGACATAATTCTGGATCGTTGTATGCTGCAAACTGCGTGCAAGCTCTGCTATATACAAACTGACGGTATGTACCGACGCCGGTAATGCTTCCAGGTTATACGCCGCGCAGAATTTCATGTACCGGCTCCACTGCGCCTTCCTTGTTTTCTGCGATGAACTGGCTGTGGCAGACTGCCGCAAACTTTTCAGCCGTTTCTCCAGATCCATCAAGCGGGTATGCTTGTCCTGCGATTGCCGGTAACGGCGCTCCGGGAAAACTGCGAAATACAGACCTGAATTTATCCGCGTTTGTGACATCCAGTGTTAAACGGCTCAAGGCATCGGCCGCTACGTTTGTTACTCCCGGAAGATGAACTGCGGTTACGTAAAGGTCATAGCGTAATGACGCATAAAACAGAATCTTCAACCACTGCAGTGCGGAAATATTTTGGTAGTTCCGCGCGTTAAAAACGCAACCGTGGCGCTGTTGTCGGAGGCGACCACAATATGCTTGCCTGCGAGGTATGGTGCCCATACCAAAACTGCGATGCATGCTGCGATAAGCTCAAGATAATTAATATTATCTTTCAATGCGCCGTCCACTGCTGGCGACGGAAGCCAACTGCCTGCCATATGCTGCAATCTACCGGGTAGGACGTATGACGAGTCCCAGCTGCCTGCTAACCATGCGGTTTCCATGCTTGCTCCAAAGCCGCCGAATGACGCATCGGTGGCAATGGTGACCTTTTGCCTAGCTCCATAAACTGCCGGCCACTGCACCTGGCCATTAACTGCCGCTGCGAATCCGCTCCACCACTGTAATTCGTACTGCAAAGCCTTCGTAATTTTTGCCAAATGGGATGGAGCCTTAAGCTTTTGCATAACATCGATAAAATACCGGGTAAAAGTCCGTGCTCCGAGGATTGCGCGCGATGCGAACGACATGTGTCCCACAAGACACTGTAATTCGCGCTTACTAACTTTTTTACGCTGCGAAAACTGCATTGCCATTTTTGCAAGGCTGACAAGCTTTTCTTGTGGTAAAACCACTGATTGCGTGGAAGAGTCGATTATTAGCCCCAGAAACTGAACTCTTCTTGTTGGGCTGACGACTTTCTCCCATTTTACTGCAAAGCCCAGCCGTATCAACAGAGCAATTAATGCCTGCTGCGCTGCCGCACATTGTTCGAAGGAATCCGCAATTAACAAGAAATCGTCCAAATAACATACACACTTGTAACCAAGCCGCCGCAACTTTCTCGCGATCGCACTTGAGATTCGCTGAAATATCGCAGGTGCGTTTGCCAGGCCAAAGCAAAGAAAATTATCTACATAATAGACTTCTGGGTCACTGCCAAATCCCCATTTGAAGCCCTGCAACTGCCTGTGAGAAGGCAAAACTGGCACATGTCTGTAAGCTGATTTAATATCAACTACCGCGAAGAAGCTGCCTGCACTGCTGAGTAAGATTACGTCCTCAATGGTCTCAAATCGAAAATGGTCTGGCTCAATGTAGTCATTCAATGCATTGCTGAAGGGACGAGAACAGTCCGTAATAGGACGAGGGACAGCTGACCCAGATTTGGCTACTGCGCCTATTGCTTGCACTCTGAGCGGTTTGACTTGTTGTTGCGAAATTTTGCCTGCGTTTAATTCTTCTCGGAAAAGTTTATCAAGTAGAGGTTTCGTGTCAGAATTCAATGCGCTGCGATAATTAGGACATTCGGACTGCGAAACTGCATTTATATCGGAAACAATAGGGAAACCGGCAGAGATGCCGCTTAACAGAAACACTGCATCTGAATCATGTAAAAATTCATCAAGCCACACCGAAAAACATCGCGTTAAACTGCTTCGCAATAAAAGGTCATTATCAATAACAAACTGCAAAATATTACCCCGTGTACTGGTATTATTAGTATAATTAACAGAAGAATTTTGATATTGCATATTACAGCCCACTTCCTTTAAACTGCCCACTGCACTGCTGCCGCTCTTAGCGTCCGCCGTTGTTGTTCCCGATGCGGCTGCCACCGGCGCCGTTGCCGGGGCAGTTTGGAGCGCGGTGTTGTTTTGCACCGCAGTATCCGCAATTATGGTCGTATTTGCAGTTATTGCGCTGGCAGCTGTTCCGGTTCCAGTCAAGGCATACTGCCTGGACACGAAAGGGCGCGTGGGTGTAACCGCCCGGCGACTGCGTGACTGCGTATCCGGTTGAGTTGCGAAATGCCCGCGCCGGTTGATTAAACCGGCGATATGCGTCCTGCCGTCGTGTGTCGGCATTTAAGCGATTATCTGCAATCGCAAACTGCTCATGCTTGTCTGCCAGCGAGTATTTATAAATATCTGCGAAACTGCGAAATTCATCCTCGAACAAGACAATCGCCTCATCCTCATACCGGCATCGCCTGCCAGCCAAGAACTCCATGTACTGCAGGAATTCATGCAACGTGTCTGCGTATTTGCCGGTTTTGTCCTGCGCCAACTGCACTGCTACCCGCATGTTACCAAGAAATAACTCATTACAACTCAAATCTTTTGCTTCCAAATTTTTCTTCTTTTTATTACACCCTCTCGGATAGACCAATTCATGCGCTCTAGGTAAATCTCGTGCCCTGACCGAAAGATTTTTCAGTAAATTTTTCTCGTCACCACTATCGTCAGACTCACCCGAATCGCTATGGCCGGAAGTGGTAGGCCGTGGCTTGCTGCGTCGCTTGCGGCGAGGTGACTCTTCTGGATCATCTTCTCCGTCTGCGTCCGAAAGGTCAAGGCGTCTTGCCGCGGTCTGGTATCCCAAGCGCTTGAGCACGCTTTCCTTCTGCTGCGGTGGCGCTGCTGGCGTTGCGTCGATGACGATGACCTTTGAAAAGAGTTTCTTGCGCAGGATGCACTGGTCCCGGCCATGGGTGACATACTGCTTGATGTCCGCTTCTGATTCCCACAAGGAAGATAACTCTTCCATTGACTGGAATCCCTGCTGCTGCAATGCTTGCACGGTCTGCGCTGAGAGGCCACTGTCCGCAAACGGGACATCCGGTTTGGATTGCGTGCCGGTCGGTTGGGACTGCAAGGCTTTCCCACTCATCTCCTGGGTGAATTGCTGCCGTTCTGCCATATTTTGAAGGACACGTTCCGCCAGCTCCTCCTTGGTGCCACTGAGGTCGAGGATGCCCATTTGCTGCAGCCGAGCAACAAGGCCTTCCTTGGTGAAGTGCGTCTTGAGCGATTCAATAGTTTCCGCCATAATGATAATATGAGAGAAACACTGCTGAACTAGAAAATATTCAAAACTGCTTGCTGCTGCTGCATGCAACTGGAAGTTGCCGGTATGCTGCGCTCTTTATATACGCGCCACCGATGACCGGTGGCCGGCTGAGAGGAGGAGTGGCTATCCGTGTAGGCCAATAATAAACAGATTCTCCCTAGAGAGAATCTTACTCATTAACTGACGACAATTTCTTGACTGACAGAATGTTTACCGACAGCTTGCTTACTTACTAAATTGTTGACCGACATTTTACTGACCGACGTTTTATGGAAATACCGACAACTCGCTGACCACAAATTTAGTCTGTTACTCATTAAATCCTTGTAAAACTCAATTTCGGTGATTACGATCGGATACCACAACCACTTCTCCTGCTATTAACAGCTGCCGGCTAATGCAGCATTCTGACAATTCCAGTCGTCCAAATCTCCTTTTTTCTGCTCGATACGCGTACGAGCAAATTTCATATAAAATTTAAGAAACAGAAGAAAACTATGAAACCCAAAAAGCCTCAGAAACCTAAGAAAATTAAGAAACATAAGAAACACAAGAAACCGAAGAAACCTAAAAAATCTATGAAACCTAAGAAACCTAAAAAATCTAAGAAACCTAAGAAACCCAAGAAACCTAAGAAACCTGAAAAACGTAAGAAACCTAAGAAACCTAAGAAACCTAAGAAAAATAAGAAACCTAAGAAACCAAGAAACCTAAGAAACCTAAGAAACCTAAGAAACCTAAGAAACCTAAGAAACCTAAGAAACCTAAAAAAACCTAGAAACCTATGAAACTGGTATAATTATCAAAACATTTTTAACAGTTATTAATGAATAATTAATATTGGTTGCGACAATAACATACTCGTGAACCTAATACGGCGTAATAAATGGCAAAAGGTTGTATTTCAGTTATAACTGTCATAGTATTGCTTCCTTTTTATGAAACCAACGAAGATACTAGTTTCGCGTAAATATCGCTAATGTGCGTTGAACTGGTCAGCAAATTGTCGGTCAGCAAGTTTTCGTCTTCTAAAAGTAGTCGGTCAGCGAGTTGTCGATTACCGACATTTCGCTGGCCGACAAGTAAGCTGTCGTTCAGCAAACTAGTTTCTGCAAGATGTCGGTCGGCCAGCTTGTAGAAGAGCGAGCTGTCGGTCAGCGATTTGTCGGTCAGCAAGCTGTGGTAGTCAGCAACAAGTCGGTCATCAAATTGTCGGTCAGCGAAATGAAGGTCGTAGAGTTGTCGTGCTACCCTTTTTTGTTTGACTGTATGTAGAGAGAATACTAATTTTATTGAACCATTCTTTATGTACATTAACTGGGCACTGGTATGTGTTTTTTCAATAGGACTGTCATTTAACTAATTAAACATCGATGGATAGGTACGTAATTCGTGCACAAAATTGCCAAAAGGAAAAATAATTCACTGTCTGGGAATACTTGAAATTTGAAGCAACATCAGCATGTCGTTAAATCTATTCCAGGCATCCGACCGCGTCGACGCTCACTGGCGCATTCACAAACGAGACAACTAAAGATCAAATTCTAGATCAAATTCTAGAGCCCTTAAATTTCCAGAGTATAATCATGCTAAATTAACTACTGCTACTCTAATAACTGCTAAAAGAAATGATACGGGGTGTAGTGTAATCCCACAGTCTGACAATGGGACACATAGGCTGACATTTATTCACTTGCACGTTATGGCTCATTGGGCTCTACTGGAGAAAAAACTGGAGCACACTGGATAATGGTTGTGAGGCGGAACAACCTGGGACCACATTCGTGATCGCAAGCCACCAGTAGTTGTCCGCTGCAAGAGATCAGCAGCGTAAAAGGGTGGGTCGCAGACAGCGCAAGTGGATCGTGTGATCCACTCGCTTTTGATTGCGTCGGCATGAAAGTCAACGAAGAAATGGTCGCCGTCATGTCCTGAACGTGTCCCAGCCACCATTGATGGTTGCCGAACTGCACCAGTGCCGTAGTAAACTTGGCGTGCCGCGGAATATAAGCGGTGAAAATATCGAGGCGTGGCATTCATTATGGTGTGGAGATGCAGAAGATGGCAAGTACTGCAGATAAATGCACCGGATGCACAGATAAAAAACCGGTTACAGAATGTCGAGACTGAAATCAACGCAAGATGCATTTTGTGTTAGAATAAGGACAATACTACATCTGTACAAAATTTACCTAAATAAAGCGTTAGGATAAGAGACTAATAAGACTATGTCTTTGCCACGTGTTCTGATTAGGTTAAAGGCAGAGAGGAGCGTCTGTAGGTTGTGAATACAAATAACCGAAGTAAAGATGTCCAGTTGATGTGCCGTTGTCATAATTATTAACGTCATGGCGCATACTTGCGAACAATGCAGTATTGCTCACCAGTATTGCTCACCTCCAAGCCAAGGAAAAAAACAGCCTTGCTTTGACGATTTCTTTATCAGGCTCGTTGTTCCGAAGACGTGTTGCTAAAATTTGTAGTCGTATTTTGCCCGTGTGCACAAAAGGAATTTAGTATTTCACCTACGGTACATCCGGCAACCAATGATCACGTGGCCGTCGCAAATGATCGTACAACGTTTGGAGCGCCCATCGAAGCTGATGCCGGGGAAAAAGCGTGGTGGGTGCAAATTCCATTCAGTCACGGTTATTCAGTACTACGGACCAATTATGAATTAATCGTCAGTGGGCCAGGGCAAGAATGGCTGCCAAAATTTACAACCGAATTCTTCCATTAAGTAACGGTGGTACAATGGTACTACGGAGCGTTCGATACTTTTTGAGGATTCCCCTCAGCTAATGACAACTGAAAACAAAAAAGAGTTGGTCACAAACTACTGCGGGGTTGATTGGCGCTCCCAACCGTTGAAACTTGGAGGTAAGGGAGCCCGTTTGCATACCAAAATAATAACATCAACGGCGGTTGGTTATGCGATAATTTTGCCACAAACCGGAAACCAATACATCCGCGCCTTATCGCACTGAAAACGCCATGATGACAAACGACTACATGCTTTGCATTTACAAGCCTGCGAACGTTCGGAATGGCGATACAAGCGTATTGCTATTCAAGGCGTTTGCAGGCTTGCAAGCCGACACCACACATATTTTGACGAAAGAAGAAAAATGTTCTGTAAGCATGAGCAATAAAATCCGATATTCTTGATATGGAGGACAATTTAATCGAGTAGCCGATACCGGCTAGGATATAAGTAACACAAAGTCGGCTTGATCAATATACCGATAGCTGCAGGTAAGCTAAAATGGGCGTCGCCCGCCCGCACGTATGGCCGTTCCCAGCCGAGAAGTTTCGGAAACCTGCGAAAAATACAACCAAGATAATTGCAAAGGCGTACAGGGGTACGCTTTCTGCGCTGTTTTATTCACACGAAAGGGACAACACTCGGCTCTGTATACCTCCGGCATCACAATGGGAGTACATTGTTGCGGAATTTCAGTAAACCGCATTAGGAGTAATGCAATTAATAGAAACTCCGCAACTCGTATACTTAATAAAAAACGTACGCGTATACAACTTCCGCAATATGGGTCACCGGTAGAATAGCCGAAACGAAAATTATGGTATAGTGGTTTCTACTTATGTGCAACCTCAAAATATGTGTGCACGATATCAGATAGTCGTAATTTAATTGGGCGGTAAATGGTTGATGAGAATCGAGCGTATTACACAGCACAACCAATATGACTATGCACAGAAGAAAAAAAACCCTTAATCCGACTGCGGTATCTAAAATCATGTACAGACGCAACGTCAGATTCCAACAGCAATCACAGGGATCGCTTGCCTGAGCCTTCAAAAGCCGAAAATTCTTATTAAGCCTAAACACATGTTCTCCCAAAGGTTTTTCAGAGGTACATTAAGCAGTGTACACCACATCCCATAGAACAAGAGGTGAGAATGAATATTCAAACGGATAACAGCCACACGTAGCCCCATATTCTCCAATACGTAGCCCTGCTGCCCTCTTCTCATACGAAACTAACTGCATCAGCGGTAGGTGAAACTAAAGTTTGTGCAGTGATGATCGATTCATGAAGAGTAATTAGAGAATGAAACACGTCGGGGGGCAACCTTCAAATTACAGCGCACGGCAGGCAAGGATCGTGGCAGCCAGTTTTGATCCTTAAATTCTTAATCAAGTTCGAGCGGATGACAGGCAGATGGTTAGAGGAAATGCCAAACCCATTTAGCCATTGTCAACATTGCGTCTCTGCATTCCTGACAAGAGACGGGCGCGCTGTTTGCAGAATTTATTGATTTGAATATCCCACTACTCTTGAAGCGTTTTGGCAACGAATAAATTAACGCAACATGTATTTCATATGGGCGTGTTGTTTTTTATTTCACCTGTGGTACAACGTAATTTTATAATAACTGAAAACACCGACATTTCCTTTGCGCGTTGCTCGACTATTAATGCAGGCTGAGCTGATTTGTACGTGTTTTCCAATTTTCTGACTATAATACTCACAAATAATAAGCCATATAAAATTTTTGAACGTGTATAAATTCAAATATTTTAACCAACATAAACTTAGAAAACCGAATAGCGCCTGAAAGTAGGAAATGTAAAAGTGGTATTATGTTAATTACTTCGCAGGCCACTTACGTGACTTCACTGACTTCGGAAGTGTAAATATTTTGGTTAAGCTTCTGGAACCGTTGCGAAAGGTTTAGAACAGTTTAATTTGGCTTGACTGACCGAAAGTAGCGGGCCTTCACACCTTGGAATTGTTGCAAGGGCGATTTGCAGCTGGAAGATGTACAGCTGTTGTCAGAAAATATTGCTGAAAAGCGATTTTCCCGATTGAAATCGAGCAGCAAGCTAGCAAATACTATTTTCGTAATCTTTTCAGCAAATTGTGGAAACTAGCCAAAATTTTGTATATGAGCTTTTTTTCTGATTCTTCAACAAAGCCCTGCGCACTGAAATGCCGGATGGCAGTACTCTTGTGGCCGAGCGGACACGACACCGTGCAAACTGGAGTAAAAATGTATCAATACTGATACGCGACGAAAACTTGGTTTCGCGGGTCAATAGATCTGTTCTCTGCGGAAGGAAACAATCAATAACCGCAGGTAGCATTCTGGTCTGAGTTTAAACTCTGATTCTGATTCCGCTAAATCACACCGTCACTGGCGTAAGATGTATTGCACTGTACAGATAAGAAGCCCATTATGGAATTATTGTACAAATTTAAAAAAACAGCACCTGGAAGCACAAAGTCGTAAGTCGGCAAAGCGGTTGTCCCTTACGTCTGCAGACCGGTAGGTTAAAAGAATGAGTGCGGGAGAAAAGTTATTAAGTGAGACTAAGCACTGAACAGTCTGTCAGTAACACGAAGAAAACCGGAAATCGCTTCGATAATGGCCTGCACCAGCTTACAATATGTGGAGCTGCGATCTGGTAAGTTGGTGATGTTTTTTTTGGATGCTTGTGGTACTAGGGACTGTTATCGTAATTTGGCCGATGTGCACGAAACGCTACTAAAATTATATTAACACCCAGTAAAAAATGCCAACGCTGCCGTCGCAAATGTTGAAAAACGTTTGGCGTGCATAAATAGGCTGCTGCAACAAAAGAAAAAGCGCGATGTGTTCAGATTTCACCCATGGCGGCAATACTTATCACGGTCCGACGTCGGACCGTGATAAGTATGACCGCCATAAATGGATTCCTCATCGATGCGGAACTAATCTTTATTTGCACCATAACAAGAAGTCACCAAGCCACTCCGGAGCGAATTGCAGAGATGTTCATTAATTTTCGAAAATGCCCGATCGCCACCGAAATTATTATACTAGCGGTCACAAAATTCATGCCGTTTTAATTTCGGCACAAAACGGAAACCAGTACACGCTAGCATTACCATTCATCGCTAACTGGGCCCCAGTTGACTCTCTGTGGAGGGGCACGAATTGCATGGAAAAACCCGTAAGTATATGCGCCGCATGTGCTTGTTTTCCATTCAAGGCATTTCCAGGCTTGCAACCCGCCACACCAGGCTGGCGTTTTAAAGCCACATATTGAAAATGTTTGGCAATCAAAAACAGTCAACACTAATATCCGTGAAAAGGAGGATAACTGGGATCAGATGTGCTGCGATACGGGTTACGATACAAATGACATAAATACGGCTTGATCGATATAACAGTAGCAGCAGTCAGGGATTGGTAATCCGTGCCTGAAAATATATAACGCCGGTGTAGCAAGCGTAATACGGTTGCTTCGTCGGCGTAATATATCATGAGCTGTCGTTATAAATTATAATATAGGACTGCTTGGATCTTCCTTTACATCCCCTAACATTGGTTACAGGTATGCAAACGTTATCGCGAAGGTTCAATAAAGGTAAAACCAGAAATGCGCACATCCCACGTTATTAGCCGATTCTGAGTATATTGCCAACGGATAGCAGCCAGTAAGTCTGCGGTAGCCCTGTCGCCGCTCCCTTATACGAGACTAACAGCAGCACCACGTGAAAAAAGTGGGTGCAATGCTGTTCAGTCGGGAACAGTCCTGAGAGATTCAAACACGTCAGTGGGAAAACCTGTTACCTTCGATACACAAACAGATCACATAACTGGAGTTACGCAAACTCTGTTTAGGTGCCCGAACTCAATCGCACTTACTGCAACCATACCCGGTCCACAGCAAACAAGAACGGTGACAACAAATTTTTAGTTCGTCGATTCTGATTCAATTCGAAATGATGGCGCAGAGGATGCTGGGAGGATATGCCGAACTCGATCTGACATTGTAAACATTTCGTTTTTACAACCCTAACAAAAGACTGTTGTGCTGTATGCTGAATTTATTGATCTGCATATCCAGCAAATGTTTTTTCTCCAACCGGCAATTCGAAGCGTTTTCCCGACGATATTAACGCTACGTGTCTTACTTACGTACGTGATTCGAGTATTACTCCTGGCTCTGCTAAGTTGTGCCTGTTCTGACGATAAAAATTTAAAAGGCGGAAGTCGTTCACAAAATACACAATTAATAAAGAAATCCGTCCATGTAGTGTTCCGTTTCTGCAGTTGTTATCAAGAAATTTGAAGAAAGAACTGAAATTCTTTAACCGATGGCAATCCTAAAACACTATATTTGTTTGTTTAGCGTTTGTAATTAATGTACTGTAATTCCGTCAGAAATGTATTCCCAGGCCAGAAAATAGCAAGCCGAGCCGAGTCCTAAAAGCGTGTCTTTGGATTTGTTGCCGATTTATACCACGCAATTTGTGCTGTGTCTGCTAATTATAAAAAAAGCAATTCAGTAATAGTTGAAGATGTATACGAGGAGGATTTCGGATTGGTGTTGAGTCGGTAGCGAATTTACAGCCTGCATTTAAACTGAACACCTAGTGCATCGGAGGTTGATTCAGCCGCCAACCGTGGATGGTTGCCCTAACCAGCATGCGTAACCGCCAAACCGTTTGGCGGTACGATGGCAGTAGCAGATAATAATCATAGTTTACGATTACGCAGCTGTTAGTTAGTGCAACCAACCACGGTTGGCGGCTCAATCAACCTTTAGTGAATTGAGTGTTCAGTTTACCTGTAGGAATAAATTCGCTACCGATTCAACACTATTCCTCCTCGTAATGAAATGGTTTTTTTTCGCCAACCGTATGTTACGCTGGGGTTGAATGAGCTGGTAAACTGTTACCGGTTCCATAGAGGTGTATGTTATAGCTGTAAAGGGGTGAATGGTATACAGAGAACTGCCCCTGTTTTACAGTCTACCGGATGGTTTGGTTCCCAGCCTCATGCATGCAGTAAAAGGATTAAGGAAGGTGAATGTTAAGAGGAGTTTCACTGTATTTAACTCGCAACAAATCAACGGATAATACAAATTCATAGGCTAAGCCAAACTCTATAGTACGGCGCGTCACGCCACAGTTTTATGCGTTGTATTCTTTTGCAAATGTTGCGTTAAGAATACACGAAATCGTTTGTTGGCAGGTGGCGTGCAAACAGCCCGTGCATAAATTGAGCAGTTTAATTATTTTGTCTTTTTTACTCACAGGAAAGGGCCATCCTTCGATTCCTTGTACGTGTGGCTTCACAACGGCATCAGGCGTACTTTACCGCGGAACTTCAGCCAATCGGGTTATTGGCAGTAAAACGGCCAACGGAAACTCCGCAGTTAACGCATTTAGAAGATTACAGACGGCAACACAGCATCAGATTATGACCAAACGGAAGTGAACATTACCGTTTAAGTCAGTTATGCGTAAGCGTATGAAACATCTGCGATTGTTAATTTTTCGTGGTTCTGATTCCCCATATCTACGATATGGGTCACCGATATAGAAACCACGACAAAATTAATACAATCTTCCTACTAACGTTTTGCTACCTCATAATGTGCATGCGCTATGAGATAACCGTACTGTAAGAGTCCTTTAAATAGTCGGTGAGAAGCAAGCGTAAAACGCAGCACAACCACAATAAGTGTCCACAGACAAATGAGAGACGATATAAATCCGGCGCGGTGCATAAGCACCACGTGCAGCCGCAATGTCTAACTGCAGTCAGCTGACGTCCGCAAGTACAGGGATTTCTTGCCTCAGCCGTTGACATCCACTATATTTTTTACAGGTCCACAAATTTTTCCCCAAGACCCCCATGCACATCGAGTTTTTTACACAACAGTTCCCAGTAAACGACATGTCCATTCATAATGGTTACAATGTAAGATTAAAAAATGGAAATCAGCTAAAAAAACGCAAAAATTTTTTACTGAAAAAGTAAAACAGTAAGCACACACATCCAGTGCAAAGAAGTCAACAAGCGGCACGCGAAAATCTGCCGGAGCAGGTAAGTTAACAATCCTGAAAGTGCATCATCAAAGGTACATTCATAAATCCCACAGGATGATAGCAGATTCCGAATCCTTCCAACGGATGACAGCACGGCATTAATTGCCTTGTCGCCGATCCACATACCAAAACATTTAGCAGCGACAAGAGAAAATAAAGTTAGTTCAGTCTTGTTCGTTTGGGAAGAGCACTTGGAGAATTAAACACGTCTGTGGGCATTGTTTAGCAAATCCAGTTTCGGTTGCCCAAACTCGATCTGAGTTAACCAAACATGACCCACTCTAAACAAGAACGGTGACAGCAAATTCTATATTATGGTGTTCAAACTTTGGTATCCAATCAATTGACGATTTTTTAAAGTGGGTGATTTTCGGTGTGATTCTTTTAGCTCCTCCTGTTCGACGCTGTTGCACCAGGATATTGGAACACCGGATATGCCTGTGTACGATACCGTGCTCGTGTATCATACACAGTCCACTCAATATCTGTTTGGTGAATGCCGGCACCATCTGCACATGGAACTCTGTGGTCGTTATTATGTCAGAAATATTACCTGAGATAAATGATACATTCATCCGACTTGTTCACAACCGTACAGAGCTTTCAGAACCAAACAAACATTTTTGTGAAGTTGTGAATAGTAACTTCTTATCCGATCCGCTGCTGCCGTAAACTTGATGCGATCGGTAGCTCAAAGATGCTGAGGTATTCCAGCTTAGAATGAATGTTTGTCGGATGAACAGCTTACCTTCGCTTTCAGTAAAAATGACAGGCTCCATAGTCGGTTTAAAACAAATCTGTGTAAAATCCTTTAAAATGTGCTCCGATGTTATCTCCGACAACCGTTTAGCAACATTATACATGTCTTGGACCAATGCAAGCCGGCATCTGTTTAGCGGCGATACACTGCATGCGGAGGCGCTTTTCTCTCCATCCAACTTGTTTAAATCCATAAGCTTCCCCTCTAGTGCTTTCAGTATATTCTGCTACCCTTCCGGTTCCTTTAACAGTATGATGTCAGAATTAAAACTGTCCAGAAAAAAATTATTCATCTCCTGGCTGTTTATATACGTGTAGTATATCATAACGCTTGTATTCCCAATCCTGGGACTCCATGCTTTTTGGGGTAATTCCCCAAAAATGTTGTGCAGTGGGTTTAACAGCATCCATTGTTTACGTTATGCAAATAAATCACCTAAGCACGAAGTTGTATTGCGACCACTAGGCGTGATCCAGTACCAACTTAGGCTGTAAGGAGATGATAACGAGATCCAAAAATATTCCGATTTCAAACTATTCCTAATAATAAAACTAAGTATAATTATTGATAATTTTATATTATGCACAAGTTTCCTTACTTGGGCTCTTTTAATCAAACACCTTGAATTTATGAATGGCTGAGAATATGCATTCAAATTGTTGCTGAGTATAATATAAACTACGAGTATCGATCAAATTAGAGCACGTGGAATACGCGTTGGGCCGTTACGATAGATGAAAGGTACGACCATGCAGACAAGACATCAGCAGTCAGCACGCACGTAAAATCATTTTGATAAATGATAAAGAATAATACTGTAGTGAAATAATTGCCAGCTACTTCGATTTATCCTTAACTATGATACTCTACAGTTTATGAGAGCAGCCCTAGGTCACTGCCGCCCTTGATAAGTAAGGGCTGTTAATAGCGAAACTCGGAAGCATCAGTTTATGTTTGGCAAATATTCACAATTATAATCTGTAATCTTATACCATTATAAAGAATACTTAGAATACAGAACTTTTATCTTGAGCAATTGTCGGAGGCTTAGAGGTGCAATCGATATGGAAGCATTCCAAGCAAGCAGAGTACCAAGCAAGCAGAGTACCAAGCAGCATTCCAAGCAAGCAGAGTACAGTCATGTATCAGATAACGCTGTGGCCTGAACCGATGATACGACGGTAAGAATGTGAGACAAGCTGCGTTTGCCTGCTGTAATAGATGTGTATGAAACTGGAAATATTGTTTATTCGATTCATTTTCGGATCTGGGTAGTTCAGATTTAGCTGATCTATTAGATTCTTGAATTCTCTGGTTTGAGGCTTCAACTGCTTTTGTTAGACTTCACACGAAATGGCAACAAGCAATATTCCTATTGAACTCGGCCGTTTCGATTTCACACTGGCCGATTACATCGCCAAAGGCGCCTACGGTACTGTTTACAAGGGGACTATCACAGATCGTGGCGATTTTATTGGAGAGACGACCGTTGCAGTCAAAGTCGTCTACGTGGACAAAACGTCAAAAATCTCCATCTGCCACGAGAGCTGGAATGAATGGCGTAAAAGGATTGAAACTCTTCTCCAACTGAAGCACGATAATTTGGTTTCATATCATAAAGTTGAAGTCCTGAAAGCACAAGGAGGACCTTATTTCAAGATCATGATGGATTACCACCTCGGTAAGGTTTCTATTTGTTTTCCGTGTGAAAAAAATTACAGTAAAAATGATAGTCGCCAGCATAACCTTGAAGAAATTTCCTCGTTAAGTCGTCTTCTGAATCTTGCCGGTGTCCCTACCCGTCGTCCATTGTAAAACCATGTTAACCCGGTTATAGTCCACGCAACGTTGCGTAGTGGGCCTGGTGGCAAAAGAGGTAGCTTTAAGCCTTTACGATCGTACAAGACGACATAAATTGGAATTTGCTCAGTGTTCGATAATTTTGTTTATCAGCAGCGCAATGTAAATTGACAAAGGAATATGTGGACCGTGGATATACTGAAAAGATTTAGAAATACGTCGATAATAATATTTTGATAGCAATAACTACGAATGGCAAAATGCCCATGAGCAAGTAGTGGTATTCGGTTAACCTTTGATTTTGAAAAATCAAAATTAATTGCATAAAGCGAAGTAACCTATTCGGAAATTTATTACAAAGGTAGCTGTGTAATTCGCGCTGTGTTTGAGCTCCGTAGGTTGCAATATTTATCACCTCGATACACTGGCTCCATTAATTGAAAAAACTATGAAGAGCCAGCAGCGATAGAAGTTTTAATAAATGCGACAAGGTAGTATGTCTATGATAATAGTTTATTTAGGCAGCCATTGTCCATAGGATGCAGCAGGTGAAAGCCGTGAAACAGAATGACTTTGGGCGTCGTAGTGTGAAGATTATTCGTAAACCTTGTCTGTTACCATGAATTTGGATTTTCGTTGCTTGCATACACGCTAATTTTCCGGATCGGCTTGTAATACGTACTAATTTTCTGGAATCGGCTTTTCTCATAAATCAGAATCATACAGTCCTTACATGTTAGGAATTGTTTCGATCGTTACTTACGCTAGCGCATGCTACTTCCGCCTGAAAATGACTAATTATACAAGCTTGTATTATGTTAATTGATGAAATCATGACAGAGATGATAACAAAGAAGACGATGGCGGTAAGGATGACAGCGATTTTTGTTCAGAGGTAAAAATAAAGTGGCGTGGCTTATACACTGCCTTACAGAGAATGCGAGTGCTTCGGCTCTGTGCGTTCAGATACATCCATTCAGGTTTAAAATCAGTATGCAGCGGTAGTACAGCAATCACAGTGCGCATGCAACTGCATGCCCTACAGTAAGTCAGTTGAAGTTTTAAACCAAAAATTAGGAAACGGACTGTGTATTGCTCGTCGATGACCGCCCATGTGGCGTGCTACATGAGTACTGTCGATCGCACACGCTTCTGCATCTGGTCTCGAGTTTTCACTGATTTTATTTGGATTTTTTGGAAACCGGTTGATAATCTGTAGAGTTTATGATTTGAATCTTATGAAAGGAGTTTGTTTTACAAAAGAAGGCGATGATTTTCAAATTTAAGATGATGATTCGTGCTAATTTTGTGGTTTCTAAAAATTAATATACCTGGGCGAGCAGTATATGAAACCGTATGCACACCGCACGGAGGGAACAAAATTTGAGAAACATCGAAAGATAACTAGGACAAAGAAATTTACGCTACTTTAGTCACGTGGTGGCCTCACGAAGTAATTAACAGTCAAACAAATCTATACCTGAATAAACTGATCTATTTCTTATAGTCACCATCCCAGTTTTTTGGATTTTTACGCTGATTATTGAAACTTTTTACCGTAATGTATGCAAAATATGCAAACAGGAAAGAGGTTAAACTAAAAAAATCAAAAACTCGTAACGTGGAACTGTCTTTTGGTGTTTCCAGAGGGAGATTTGGCTTCTCTTCTGCATAAGCTACGAAACTACGAAGGCTTGCTGGCTGCCACAACTGTAAAACGTCATATGTTAGAAATTGCAAGAGGAGTCGAGTTCCTGCACAGCCGCAACATAATCCACGCTGATCTAAAACCGACTAATGTGCTAATAAAACGTGTGAAATCTGGGCAGACGTCCTTTTTAATCGGAGATTTGGATGACATGGTACGAATGCAGAGAGAAGAAACCTGTTCGAAAGATATCACTCATATGCGTGGAACAAAAAGATTTATGTCTCCGGAGATGCTAAGAAAGTTTTCGCAGTTACCGGCAGAGTTACCCGGACGGAAAACTGACATTTGGAGTTTGGGCTGCATCATGCTGGAACTGGCTAACTTTATTACAGGAAAACATGAAAAGTGGCTGGTCAAGGACTCTCAACTTCCCATATCAGCCGAAAACATAAACGATAACCAATACGCTATCTTTGTCATGGAAGGTTACGCGCCGTTCGTCACGGACTTTGTTCCGGCATATCTAGCGATGTGCATCCGACAATGTTTAGAAGTAATTGCCGAACACAGAATAGGCGCGGAAGAACTGGTATCACAACAGGAAAATTTTGAGCCGCAAATCAGTTTATCGGTACCATCAAAACCTTCTGCATCGGACAATGATAACAACTATCATAACAACAACTATGATAGCAACTTTAGATATCTACAACGTATTCGCCACGTTATTGCCGCTGTCATCGACACCGCCCTTGAGTCAGCGACGTGTCATGGAGGAATATTTCCTGAGAACATTTCTTTCGACGACAATCAAGCGGCCACCCTTGGAGGAGTTCAGGATTTGCTACGTTTGTGGACGACATGGATTACTGAGGGTTCCCTCAATGTGGTTTACATTCCTCCGGAAGGTATCGCAGCGCTGCCCGACTCAACCGAAAATACCAGTAAGACGGATTCATGGGCACTTGGATGTTTGGCCATTTCCCTCATCAACAACGAACTACCGCCGAAGCTTGTGCGACGGGCTCGGATCGGTTCCAATGTTGAAATTTTTCAAATGGAACAACCGCTGCTTCCCAATCTGCAAAAATTTTTTAGCGGAGCAAAGCTGCAGACCGGTTTCGTTATCGGTCCGAAAATCGATTCGAACGGACCGCTTCCATATGTTTGCGAGGATTTCTTGGGCCACTGCTTGGAACTGGACCCAGCGAAACGATGGAGCTTGCAACAACTACATGATCATACTTTTATGAATATGAGCAGATCAGTGGAGGAACTTTTTGCACTAAATAACACTTTTTTAAAGGAGACATTCGAGCTGACGAAGGTGCGGAATCACCCGTTTCTACGGGGTGACGATGTAATGTTGCCGCACCAGCTGGGAGAACTCGTGTACAAACATTCTCGTAACCTTGAGCCACAGGTGGTGGATATCTGGCGCTTTGCACTGCACGGCAAGGGGGCAGACGAACTGCAAAAGCAACGTAGGTTGTGGACAAAAGCTTTTCTGTGGTTGATCGGTGCATTGACTATAGAATCCAGTGCAGAAGAATTGGCTAGCGCTTCTAGACTTCGAGCGCTGCAGGACGGAAGTAAAAACATGCTGCAAAACTTTGGCTGTCGGTTTATTAAGCCGGACAATTCTGCCTTTCCGACTGAGGTGCAGGTTTGTACGGAACACTGTGCAGGTACGCTATATAGTACATACTGTACCATAGATGTAGCATTAAATTGTAAAGCCCTGAATTATGTTGTTTATAGCAAACGAATGTCAAATCAAAGTAATACTCGTATCAATCTAATATTAAAATTTACGATCTGCAATCGTGAACATCTAGTGAGTGGAGAAATACACTGGCGACGCCTGCTGACGATCTGTGTCGAAGTATTATTTTAGCGAAGTTGTTGGACTGTCACGAGCATGTCATTTACTTATAAGTCATTTACTACCTACAATTAAGTTGCTATTTTCAGGAGGTTCATTCAAAGACGTGGCTAAATATAAACTTTCTATCGAAGTCATTGCAAAGTGGACTCGAGAGGTGCTGCTAGGCCTCAAGTATCTTCATGGACACGCCATTGTCCATCGCAATATGGACAGCAGTGTCATCGTATTCAGCAAAGCCGGTTTCCTGGGAACCATCAAGATCGGAGGCTTCCAATATATACGGCAGCCGGAAGCCGATCGCACTAAACGACACGAAGCGACTTCGCGGCAGGAACAGGATGGACGGTTTGCGGCTCCGGAGTTAGTTAATTCCAATAAGGAAGACTTTACCTTTTCGGGGAGAAAGTGTGATATTTGGACCCTGGGATGTGTCGTATTGCATCTGGTTACCGGTGAACCACCCTTATATACTGGCGCAAAAAATCAGCCCATGATCCTAGAAATGGCGATTTTATATCACCTCAACAGCAGCAACAAGAAACTACCTTCTATTTACGAGTGGATACCGACCAATATCCAGGAGTTCATTAAGACATGTTTAAAATTCAATCCACTGGAAAGGCCGGCTGCCGCCGAGCTTCTCGAAAGCTTAGAAAACGGAAGCCTTGGGGCAACGGGACCTGATACCGCTGAGTATTTAGCAAGTCGTGAGGGTGAGCCACTTCCTGATGGTGTTACAGAGTACTGGAAAAACTACTACTGATTATGGTCATTTTTTTACTACCTTTATTTGGACAGTGCCTATGGCCATGGGTACGACCGTACGACAGCTGGTTCATTGGTGGTATCTGTCAATTTATATGATGCCCCATTCATCCCTAGTCCGTTGCGTCTTTATCACGGCGTCTTTATTTCCTCCATCTGCTTGTATGATAAAAAACGTGAAGTATGATCAAGCGCGTGTGATGTGTGTACCTTTTGTCTGATTTTAGTGGTCCAGATAACACAATGCGGCATCGCTGCACTTAATCGAATTTAATTAACCGTAAGCGATAAAATACTAAAAAAGCCAGTCAGTCCGCAGTTCAGAAGTTTCATAGATCATATGAAAGCGCACAGCAAGTTATGCCCTACATTATGCCGCCGATCGATGCGCAAAAAAGCGCATTGTGCAATAACACTGTATTCACACCAATAAAAAGAAAAACATAATACACTACGCAACACTTCATCCAGGTTTTTGGCTTGCGCGCAAGGCGCGGTATGTGTTCAGATTTCGGCATTAAAAGCCTACATCCGGGTTTGCTTTGTTCCGCCGTCGATGGTCGATGCGCGCTTAGCCAGCGCCATCTGACATGTCCGTAATAAAAATAATCGCGAAGGCTGCAATTTGCACCCCCCCCCCGTCTTCACCCTTTCTTCCATGCACCAGCCTCGTGCGGCACGGCAAACGTTTTGCGAATATTTCCAACGGCTGCGTTGCTATTGGTTACCGGATGTAAGTATAATTTCTTATGCGGTTCGTGCTTATCGGCGGAATTACCGCAAAAATGCCTGGCACTGTTAGCATCCAAACAAAAGCCAACTATCTTAAAAGGCGAAGTCGCACTATTGTACACTGGAAGCTAGTGCAGAATATAATCTCAACTGTTTCCGGTTTTCTTCATGTTTCTGGCTTCCTGGGACCAATTTAGCTTTGCGTAGTCTCGTAGATACTCCTCTCCCCTTAAATACTTACTCGGAGATCTTGGATACTTTGCCTAGATACTTCTTGAAGTCTGACTTTATTGGGTTATTCACCATAACGTAGGTTAAACGCAAAATTACGCAGTTTTATCATTTCAACACATAATACACTTCATCCAGCCTCTTACTGATACAAAACGTTTCCTGAACACATGCGGCATTTCCTCGCATTAAAGCAACACTGATTCTCTGTTTAAGAAACTGAGTGGAACGTTTCTCTTGTGTCCGCTCGAAAAGCATCTTACCGAGCGACGGCGAGCGTAGACATCTTACATTTCTATTCTTTACCCCACACGCCCATTGTTTCAAAAACCAAAGCAGAGAAATTAAAATTATCGCGCAAATATCTGTGCTTGTGGTTTTTCTTCGTCTCTGCCATGGTAGCAGCCGCACCGGCCGCTTTATTGAGAGATTAGGATGTATAGTACTGGCTCCAAATGTTTGAAAACAATACGCAAAGTGACCGAAATGTGAGAGAATCCAAAGTATCTGTGCGCTTTCCAAATTTAAATGCTAACGAAATCACTTTGTTGCCCTTAAGTCATAACTGATAAGTCTAACAAGTTCCGGAAACATAATTCCACCATAAATTTTAAGCTTTTGCCCGATAATACAATGCAATATGAAAGTTGCAAACAGCACTGCGATAAAACAAGATCGCTCGTGTCAGTAACATAAATCCAAGTGTATATTGAAGTGAAAATGTGCATAAGAAAAAACCAGATGTCACCGAAAGCAAAATGGGTTCAGAGGGCGATTCGACTGCAATGGTACACAATGGCTTCAGCTTCACAAAGGCCTACTGTTTTTTAGTCTATACATGCAAGTGGCAGGGCGATTCGACAAACAGTGGAACACGGAACACAAAAAGAAAAATAAAACTAGCGCTTTTATGAATAGGTAAGTTAGTGCAGATATGGTACTCGCACGGCGAGTCTGTTTACTACTGTCATGGTACTCGTAATAACCTCGATTACTAATCGCCGTCTGATTACGCTTACGTAGGGCCCGTGCTCAAGTTCGGACTGGGACTCGGAATTGGACTACCAAAACTTGGACTCGGACCACACTTGGACTTCTGAACTCGGATTTCTAAAATTGGACTTGGACTCTTCAAATTGGACTTTTCTTAGGTTTCTTGAGTATCTCAGGGTTCTTAGTATTCTTAGGTTTCTTGGGTAACTCAGGTTATTAGGTTTCTTAAGATTCTTAGGTTTCTTAGATTACTTAGATTTCTTAGGTTTCTTAGTTTTCTTAGGTTACTCAGATTTCTTAGACATACTAGTTTTTTAAAAGATGAAGTCCAAGTTAGAAGTCCCGGTTTCCAAGTCCAGGTTAGGAAGTCCAATTTGGAAGTCCAAGTTGAGAAGTCCAAGTCCAAGTGAGGAAGTCCAAGTCCAAAGATATAAAGTCCAAGTTTGGTCCAAGTCCAAGTTTTAGTAGTCCAAGTCCGAGTCGAAGTCCGAGCTTGAGCGCGGGCCCTTAAGTAGTCGTTGTAAAATTATTATGAGCTCTTCGTCCACTTTAAAGACTGCTTATTACACGCAAATAAGATAATCGAAATGACGACGAATTTTGCAGCTAGGTGCAGTGTTGTTTTTGTTAACAATTTGTTAAAAAAACATGACTGAATCGCCCCAATGGTTTGTCGAATCGCCCGACGAGAACAACGGACACGGAACCAGAGATGCGCACCCGGATCCAGTGTTGGATTCGGGTTTGCCGAATCGTCATACGTACCGGCAAAATGTGTCATTTCGAACTCTTGTTGCGCGGAGTCACCCTGTCAATGTTGTCATATTATTATACTGCGCATGTTTGTGCAGATACGCACGCATTACAAATAGTACCAGAGTCCTAAAGAAACAGAAACTGTTGGTGCGTAGCGAAATTTAAAATCAAGCAAATAATTATTGGTCCTTTAAGAGACCCAAAAGCTAAAGAAGTATCTAGGCAAAGTATCCAGATCTACGAGTAAGTATCTAAGGGTAGAGGCATGGTCTGTGTATATAATAGTCCGAATTCCTGTATGAAATTACTAAAATCCCAGCGTGACTGGGTTGCTGCGCGGTGTATTGGGACGATTACACACGTGAATACACACTCTGCAGTACGTAAACTCTACGCAACGTAGCGAGCACGCAAGTCTCCGTATCACGTAAGACATGTTTGTTAGAAATTTTCGCGCAAATATTAGCACTGCACAGACTCAGCGATAACATCGATTATTCCCCAGCATGAATTTTTAGCTTACGTTTTTTGAACTCAGAACTTTTCGACCATTGCTTACCAACCTTGTCGTTTAACAATTTTGCATAAAAGTGAATTCTTATTTGAAAGTAATAAGATGCACTTTTTCGAAAAACCTCAGCCCACGAGCACTCAGCAAGACAGGGCGAACGCATACTATTTTTCTTGGCAATAAAATCGGGCATCGCAAATTTTTCCGCGGTTTTCAGTAGGGACTGGCGAGGAGAAAGGTACAATACTTCCTCAATACGTTCACGGAATATTGTCTCCAGGCTACACATCAAATCACGAAACGGTTTTCCAACAAAGTTTAAACCACCCCCATCCTTCATTTCGGTCAACTGAGCGAAATTAGGAGTGCCGTTCGAGCAATCCAACCAAAACAGTTCCATTCGGCAAGAGTCACATACTTCTGCTTCCAACTCTTTCCTTTTACTTGTGAATCCGCTGAGATAATAAACAACATTTCGAGAAATGTCATCTAGATGAGCACCGTTCACTAATGGGTCCAATTCCGGAACATCGGGCTCAGACTGCGAAAGCAGTGCCAATGCTTTAGCGGCTTCCAGTTTTTTGGAAAATTCCTCAGACAAATCCAGAACGTTTAATGATCCAATAATCAATGCGTCATCTGTCTGTTCAATATTTGTGCGCAAATGTTCGCAGGCCTTCTGGATGTTGTGGCACGATAAAATCCGGAATATAGCCAACATATTTTCAACTGTCGGATTGTTACTGGAACCACCCAACTGCCGACACTGAGAAAAGAACCTCTAAAAATATCAAGATCGTTTATGTTCTTACAGCGGCGTAAACATCAAAACTGTATCGCAAGGCAAACTATATTTCACAAAGCAGTACCTCTTGCATGTCGTTGTTTAGGTTTTTGGTTTGCACGTAATCCATTCCTTCAGCAAGCAGATCCAAAGCTAACCTCCGGATGCTGTCAATAGTCACGGCGAAGTGGTTTATTGTAAGGTCACAAAGTCGGTCCTCCTTGGGAACGACTTTTTTCCAGCAGCGCAATCTCTCCAAATCGGCCTGAAGTTTTTCGAGCCCATCATTCTCAAAACGAATGGGAGTTCGTCCAGGGTTCCTGTCGCCGTAGGAAGAGTTTGTGTGATCAATGCAACCGTTCATGAACTCACAGTACTTTTGAGTGGCCAAAGTGCCGCTCATCAGGCGCTGCTGTTCGAACAATTTCAACGCCGTGGCCATGGACTTCGACAGAAGTACAGCAGCGTAATTTACCCTCTGCTGGTTGAAACCATCCGGGGTGACCATAGCCTTTGTCAGTCTGTGGTGCATCCTGATGCCCTTCCGATCAACGTGAGTGTCAATGTCGTACAACTGACGAAAATGGCCAAAATCGACTAACAAAGCCCGTCCGTTTTCATCCGTGTAAAGATTACCGTTTTCATCCACAAACTGCAAGTAATTAAAATACATAAGAAGTCGATTAAAGAATTCGGAACAGGACGTCTCATTCTGCGTTACCTTGAACGGTCGACTGGTGACATCACCGGTTTTTTTTGTTCCGTTTAAACATGCCGTTACGCATATTTTTCCAGTCGTGTGGTGGGTCCACGATAATATAGCGTGGTTTGCCGTTAACCGTAACTGTGGGAGTGTCGTATTTATTTACATTAAATCCGAATTTCTTGATTGCCTGCATGTTGTTAGTTCCGGCATCCCATATAAATCCGCGAATCCGTATTTTCGTTCGATCCAAAAGTTCAACGCCTTCTTCGATAATCTTTTTTAACATAAACCCAGAAGTTTGGGAACTGGAGAAAAAAATTCCGATCGGTTGAAACAGTTTGCGCTTGATACTTCGAATGCCAACAACTAAAGCGTGGTCGGCTGGTTTCATCAACTGCTCTTCCGAAAGGTCTGCGTTATGTTTCCCGTAATCCACCATTCCTAGAACCCGATCCTCTGACTGCACGTACCGACTATTTTTTCTGCTCAGCTTCATCTCGTCCAACGTCAGTGTAAAATCACGTTCGCCTTCAGGTTGTCTTTCTGCCCAGTGTTCGACACAGTGAATACTAAGT